GAAAGCAGTTAAAATGTCGAATGGAGACATTACATAAATATGTAAATAGAATGTTAACCTGCAGTTTACATGTGTGGAGTGTGAAATTAAAAGGGCAATGGCACTTGCACAGAAGTACAGAGGAAAATACAGTGAAAGAAGAATTTTGTGAAGGAAATTGAATCAGTTTCTTATGGAGAAAGCAAACATCACTTCCAATTGAAGTCTAAACCTGTGCATGCACTTGTGTTGCTGGACTTGAACTTGCATACCAATGCTAAACGTGTGCTTTTAAAAACAAAGGATAGAACAACTGTTTAAGCCAGACATTCCCGGACTGACACAGGCCGCTTTAATCAATGGAGAGTTCAAGGATGAGATGCTGAGTTTAGCCATATGAAGTGAATCCCCCTCGCCCGACTCTGCCCACTGCAGAACCCCCATTATACACACACTGACACCCGCACATATCAACACTTCACCTGCCATCCAGTGGGATTCCTCATGTGGACCATGAAGACAATCCTTCTCTGCTTGTCAGGCTGCTAACTGGGTGATGTGTTTCCTTACATGGCAGTTTTGTTTTTCTCTTCACTGTCAAAGCAACTGTATTGATCAGCCAATGTCTTATTATTAAAGCCAGGCACCACTTGACATGTTGTCTTTTGCACTTTGTAAATATGTGAGTGGGATATGAGAGATATAATATGTTTAACATACAGTGACCCTTAATATGTTTTTGGACACTTAAGCAGTGCATAAAAAAATGCGTTCAACAAGTTTAACACAAAAACATGGCTCACAAATGTAGAGTTGGGTCTGCAAAAAGTTCAAAAATAATTGAATTGCAGTTGCAACTTTTATACTTTTGAATTGATACTTTATTAAATGACATTCTGTGTAGGGTAATATGGACCACTGTATCTAATTATATAAGTAAAACTGCTTAGACATTAATCACGTCAGGTGACCAATTCACACTGAGCCGACAGTCACCAGATTACAGCACGTCACTTGTCAGACATTATAAATCTGATTCAGAATGTTCAATCGATGAAAACAAGCTCTGACAGACGCCTACTGAACTCGACAGGGTGACTCACTGATCCGACAAAACCCGACGAAGTGTCTCTGGCCGTCTGTCGGTGCAGTGTGAATTGACTTTAATTCACATTTCTACTTAAAATAGACTAGACAGACAGTTAGTTAGTCGCTAAAGTACAATCAAAATCTCAATCCTTTATGATGACGAAAGCATCTGTTGGATAAGTGCTAATCAGAAATTATCGTTCCATTAGAATGGCTGCAGATTCTCATCTCAAGCAACAATGATGTCATAATGTGCAAATGTAATTATTGAGTACTTAATTTGAAACTCTTAAGAATTATTTATGACCATGTAAAAAATTAATGTAGCAAAGTCTACAAGCAAAATCTTGTAAAAAATACAATTTAAAATTTGTAAAAAAATTAAACAAAAAAAAAGATTTATACATAACTTAATATTTAATTAGTACATTAATAAAGTCAGTGGTATTTTAATATTTCTTATAAATAATTTGAAAAATATATATATTTCAATATTAAAAAGATAATAAAATCCAATAATCTATTGTTTAAAAAAAAAAAATACAGCATTCTGCACAGTACCTCAAAATCATTTCACAAATAAAACAATAAAATCTTATTTTTGACCCATAGATCTCTTAAACAATTAATGTTATGTATAAAACTGAATTACCTGTCTGACTGCTGACTTGTGAGATTGTCTTAGGTTGAGTGTGCTGTGGTCTGGTCCTCTTCAGATGAACGTGGGCTCTAATTCTGTGGCCCGGGGTCCTGTAGACGTAGCTCAGCTCTGATGGCTGTATGACAGTGGGGAAATACTGAGTGATGGAGAAAAATGGCAGTGTATCTCTATAGAAAACACTCTAGCAAGACTATTCAAATATAGCACAGGCCCCCTCGTGCCTGTCCCACTGTGGGAATAAAACACAAGTGTGGGACACTGAGAATACTGGGCCATCTCAGGGAGTGTTTCAATCCCCCCCACACGCACACTCTTCCTTTTCCTCCTCCCCCTCTCTTCCTCCTTCCCTCCCTCTCTAGTTGCCCCCCCAACAGAATGCACTTGGTGTATAAGAATACCACCGTGTAAAGAGAGGAAGTGTGATTGGAATAGAACACAATGGTTGTTCTTCTCAGGCTGGTCACTTGTGCTATGATGCGTTGTGCTTGTCACTATATGTGATTGTTGAAGTTTTACCCCTACCCTGATCAATAAACCTTTTCATGCGATAACCACACAAACATGTCTTCACCATACATGCACTTCCATACGTACACACATGACCTCAATTTTAACAGCATTATGTATATATTTATATAATCGTACGATAAAATAGTGCAGATTTGTTTAGCATGCAAAGGCACACTGGTTTAAATCCTGATGTGATTTGATGAAAATTATTTTTTAATAAACCAAGGAAAATTTCAACTGAATGTGACAGCCAATGATCACCGTGGAAAAGCAGCTTTAATATTTTGATAATTTATTTTGCACTATATAAATTGCCGTGAGGGTAGGTAGGCTAAGTAACGACTATTTTGCAAGATAAATGCAAATGATCTATTGGATGCACTAAAATCATCCATTCACATGGTTATTTGTAAATGAATCACAGCATGATAGATGCAAATACTTTTTCTAAACCAAAATAATTGCACAAGATACAACCCAGGCTCATTGGAAAACCATTCCTATGCTGGCATTTCTGTAAAATGATATTACATTGCTTCTTGCATGTTTTGCAACCCTTTCAAAGTAAAATGTCCAGTGATTGGCTGTAAAAGCATGAAAAAATGGTAACACTTTAGTTTATGAATTCTCACTATTAACTAGTTGCTTAATAGCATGCATATTACTGGGATATTGGCTGTTTATTAGTACTTATAAAGCACATATGAATGCCTTATTCTGTATGATCATAATCTACAACCCGATACCTTAACAACTTAACAACTACCTTGCGAACTATTAATAAGTAGCCTAGTAACTAGTTTATTGAGGCAAAAGTCAAAGTTAATAGTTAGTTAATAGTGAGAATTGGAACCTAAACTAAAGTGTGACCAATTATTCAAACTATCGAAAACATTTGAACGAGAATCTGGCAACATTTTATTATGCATTAAGTATTGCGGCAGTTCAGAAATGAAATGTCCGTTGAGTGGGGCTAAAAGGTTAATGCTCTATTTTAGCTTGCTTGTACAAGTCTTTGAGCTCTTTTATTTTGGCTCGTGTTTCACAGGTCACTCATACCCAAGCTCTTTGCATTGCAAATGCAGTGCTGTACAAGGTGAGCTATATCCTGCAAGTTTACTAAAGCCATGCATATGGAGCTGGTTATGTGCATCAACTGTCAATTTACAAATCATGCATATGGTAAAAGTGTTTTGAACAATAAGCATTTTTTAATTAAACATCTGCCCCTGTAATCATAATTTGAGTAAAAAATAATAAAGTTGTTGGTGTTTTACGGCTAATAGTGCTCATTTCAGCTGGAAACTGCAGTGAATTATATGTATAGGTATACATATATGTTTTTGGAGTTTTGCAAAAATGTAGGCACATTTTTCCAATAGGTTGGCAAAATTATAGCTAGCTAAAGCTAAAACTAATTCTTGAGACAAAACTCATAGACTCACTGCCCTGGCAATCACCCAAAATGTGAAATCAAGTAGTTTTTTACGGTATTTTCCCTAAATATTCCTTTTTAGCTGAACAATATGATGCATCAGTGTAGCAAAAATGGTTGTACCAGTGTTTATAGGATATTAAAATATTGTACCTGATCACATGATCCCTTTTTTCTTCTTTGTTAGGTGTCCTTCTTCCTGTCCTTCATACAGTCGACTACTGTATTCCAGTGAGGAAGCAACTGTAAGAAATTCAACCAACTTCACAGAGACTAATTTAAACAGAAGCCTGAGCTGTAAGCCCTCTCTCTCATCACATCTCTTTCATTGCTTATTCTGCTCATCGGCTGAGAGCCGGAAGATATATGTCAGCTTTATATAATGGCAATCTTTTAGGTTTCATTCCTCCTTGCTCAAGGGTCTGTGTGTGTTTGTGTGTGTGTGTGTGGTGGGAATACTGTAGATTTGAGTACTCCTTGCTGCTGGGTCCATGTGTGTTTGTCTGTACATACATATGTAACCTATATATATATAGTGAAATGGGCACAAAGCGACATGATGCTAATTTGGTGTAAGGGACACCAGAGGTTACTAAGGGCTGTTAATGACATTGTGTCATAGTGCACTTGCTCATTTAGAGCCAAAGAGAAATCGAATGTAAGAAAATGGAAATTTTGAGCCCTAAAAGAAACTTTGACCCCTGTTTTAAGAACCGCTTACTTAAATCATGTGCTTCTACCAAGGTAACCATAGTTTACTAATTCCCATCAGCTATCTGTTTTAATATTGAATGTCCCTATCATTTCTTATTTGGGCTCATCTAACACAACACATCACAGAAAAGCCCTCAGTGAATCTGTTAGTTATTCAGTTTGTTTCCCCATCTCTTCGCATGCATAAAAACGGGATACATTTTTTCTAACTTAGTCAAAAAATATAAAAGTCAAGATATGACAAGTGGCTCTGGGATTTAAACATAGGGCATTGAAGGCATCCTTGGCTCTCTCTTTTTTTCAAAATTCTGTCTGAACATGTTTCATTTTTGTTTAAAATTAAGGTGGCCATTTTTCCCCAAACCTATAAAATAGTTTTGAGCACCACGCTCACCACGCTTTGAGCATCATTTCCAATCAAGTGGAAATGATAAAGGAAATATTTTAGTATCACAGAGTATATAACATTGATGCTGACATGGTCAGAAATACATGATGATTTGTTTTAGTATGAACTATTAGGTCAGAATTTGAGTCTAAATTAAGATTCTGGACTCTGTTGCTTGTACGTCACTAAGCAAATCCTCATTGTTATAACTGTTGAACATATCATACTGTTGTCTGGAGAGTTTCTGTGAGCATTATTAATATGACGTAGATAGTGCTTTGTTCCACTCGCCAGCACCCACCAATCACTTTTTCTACAAACAGGGTGACTGAGACAAATGTAATGAGAGCAGTATTTGGGTGTGTACTAACCGGTATAAAGTTGTTATAATTCACAAATATGCTGATTTATTCTTTTTCGGAAGAACAAAGTATGTTCGATATGCATCTAATGCTTCTGTTTTATGTGTCTGTCCATTTCATTTCTTGACATAACTTATGTACCCTTATAATAATTTAGTTAACAATCACTCTTTCCTTTTGGATTTGTCCATATGTTTTTGTTACTGTAAAAGGGATAGTGAAAATATTATATTCTGTCATTATTTACTCACCGTCATGTCTTTCCAAACCTGTATGTTTCTTCTTCTATACAGAAAATATTTTAAGATTGTTTTTGTGCATACAATAGAATTCTCCAAATCTAGAATTTCTCCAATATTGATTGGTTCATTACATTCTTGGGAACAAGAAAGAAAGTGATACAGATTTAGAACGACATGGAGGTGAGTAAATGATGACGAGAGTTTTCCTTTCAGGGTGAACTATCCCTTTAAGTTACATGTAATATCCAAACATAATATTTGCTATTAAAAAGGAATTATTTTGCCCTTTTAAAAATATTGATTTTGTTTTTGCGGTCTATTAGAGGGTTTCAAGCTTGAATGTAAAAAAAAAACACACATTAATTTTCACATATTTGACATTTTTTATTTATTTTACATTATTGCAGCACCTCTCTTCCCAGTCTGTCGGTAACGCTTTGTTTGGTTCCTGTCTCTATTAGGCCCTATCCTTCCGAAAAGCTCAATGTACTCTGATTGGCCAGCTGGACCAGTGTGTTGTGATTGGTCAATTGCTTCAAGCATGTTTTGGAAATGTCACGCCCCTACCATAACTGTAAGTTTCAACTTACTAACGCAACTCAACCAGGCCTCTTCCCTTTTTTCTTTTCTTTTTTTTTTTGCATATGCCTTGGGAATTGTGACGTATGTTCCCGGGAGAAAACTAAAGACTTCCATGGAGGCATTTCAGGGGGAATCCTTTGACTTTGTGCTTTGTAACTTTGCAGACCTTTTTCATGCTCAAACAGCAACATTACACACTAAAGAAAGTTGAAAATGTAACAAATTCTATATAGTGTATTCTATATTATTTGTCTCAAATAACTGAAAACTGTGCAACTACTGTGGAATTAGGTGTACAAAATTTCCAAATCAAGACATGCATCAAATAATTTTAGAACAATTTCCAATCATTTCAGTTTTTTTTTTTTGACAGTTTTCATCACCATCACACTATTCTGAATATGCTGTAATATGCTATGCTGCCATAAGGCAAAACAAGCAGGGATGTACAAAGCGTCTTTAAAAGCACACTCCACCCCTACAGAAACACGGCAATCAACACTTTCAAAACTGGCCCAGGAAAGAAGGAGACTGACAGACGTTATTCTAAGAGAAAGAAGGATGCTGGACGGGTAGATGTTCTGTTTTTCTGCACTGGAGCTGAAACATGGATTTCAGTGGTTGGACACGACCACTCAGACAAACACAGGAAAAGGAGTCACCCTGAGACATCGATGCTGCTAATTTCATAATCAGTTCAGCTAATTTTATCAGATTCTCAACAACTAAAGACTGTTACTAACAACGACAAGGTCATGAGTTCGATGCCTAGGGAGCAAACAAACAGACACAGTGTTTAATTACCCAGAATGCACTGTAAGTCACATTGGATAAAAGCGTCTGCCACATGCGTAAATGTCAAATGAACAGCCAATGCAGTCTAATTCATTCTAACAATATACACTTTCATTTACAAGCCAATTAAGTATACAGGGTTTTACCTGATAGAAAGTGTGGCATGGTAAATTACTGAAATTAATTTGTGAATTTTAATCTTTTTTTTTCTTTGTATTGTATTATTTCTGTGAAACTGAGGCATGGTATAAAGGTGCCAAGACTTTGAACACATTTGATGAAAGACAGAATGACAGAGAGAGAATGAGATGAAGATTGAGAAAAGACGTGTAGAGAGAGAGAGCGAGAGAGAGAGCAAGAGAGAGGGGGGGGGGGGGGGATTGAGAGAAAGATAGTGTTTCTCCTGCCGTTAGTTTGTCACATCCTCTGATAACATTGTTTTCTGCATTGGTCTAATGGTGGGATGAAAATATATTTTGAAGATCAGCATCCAAATGGCAATCAGCCTGTTTTCCTTGTTACCTTCTCCTCTACTTTAACCCTCCTCCATCCATCCTTTATTCTCTTTATTAATGTTGCATGTAAAGGCAAACATCACTATTATTATTATTAGTCATATTTAGGGTTGGGAATTTGTTCTAAATGTAATAGATAAACATTTAAAACAATTCTTGCAAAAGCTGCACTGTAAAAAATAAAATGCCATTTTTACGGTAAAATACCGGCAGCTGTGGTTGCCAGAACTTTACCGTCAAAAATATGGTAGAGACGTTATTGGTTTTACAGACTTAACTTAAAATTTACAGTAATAAACCGTATTTCATTATCTGAAATAATGTTAATTTACCAACCTATTTATGTATGAATATCTGTTTTGTACCATTGTAATATACTGACAACCATCAATCATCACAGCAGTGATGAAAGTCACATGATAAATCAAAGCTCATCACAAGCAGCTCTTCCATAAGAAAGTTAATACTATTATAAAGAAGCTGCACAGTGTCATTCGCACAAACATTAAACACCATCATGGTAACACACATGCAATTTTAAAAATGCAATAAACATTAATTTAACAACATTAAATGTAACATAAAACTCTAATGTACATAACTGATTAGAAAAGAACTAAGAAAACTAAGAAGAAACAGTTATTTCAACAAAAATACATCAAATGTGAAATGTCACGCAGGGAATTGTGGGAAAACTGTTTAAGTTTTTTCACTGTAAATTATACAATGAGTTTTTCTTTTTCACTTTCAAAAACTGTACATTTAACGGTATTTTACAGTAAAATTACATTAAATGTACCGTTAGATTTATCACAGTTATTTACCGTATATAGTAAGGAAACTTTCTGTTAACCAATTAACAGTTTTGCACTGTAGCATTTTTACAGTCTTTTACCGTTAAAATCACGATCATTTTTTACAGTGTGTATTAGTTGGCTTTTTATGTTATAAGCTACTGAAAAAACTCATAATTTGTATCCTTACACATTGAACAACCAGTCAGTAATTATACTGATTTAAATCTCACAGTCAGTTGAAGGTTGTATGTGTTTGATACGCTAAACCGACTCATTAGAGTCATTCGTTCGAGAGTCAAACTACATTAGATGCACTGTATGGTTTTGATCCTCTATAAAGAGCTGGTTCATAAATTCGTTTATTCGTTCTGTATGGCACTACTCTGGTCGATCACTCTGTTTTGCGCGGCAAATTCAGGGACGTTGCGGACAATTTACTGACAAAACTGGAAACTCTTAAAATATGGTATTCAGTCTGCATTGGCGGGAAAATGCACTGTGAGAACCGTTAAACATCAAGCAGAACACCTTAGCAACACCCTGGCAGCCACTCATTACAACATAGGACTTTGGGAGTGATCTTTCACTGACAAGAACTCCCGTTTTCTTCAGAAAATGTAAAAACTATAGGTTTTGCTGCTGCTTTGGTCTCATACATTCAGTTTGTCTAATGTGACTGACAGTCCAGAGCCTTTTCCCATGGCTTATGCATTTCTTTCTTCTGTTTATTCGGTTCCTTTCCCATTTTTTCTCAATTTTTTTCCCTCCCTCATCTTCATCATCCATTGTTTCAGCAGCATCTCAGCATTGGCCCCCTAGTGTGACCATTGCTACGCTACAGGAAGTCCAGGGTCTGCTTCCTGTCAGGTTGAAGAGAACAATCAATCATTTCCTCCTTTGACCTTAACAAATATGCTTTGCCAGTTTATATGCTTGCTTGTTTATAGGTTGTACATAACAGGGTTAGAGAACATTTACACTTCTTAACAAATGGCTCTTCAAATGGCTCTTTTTTGGTGGCCACTGTTTCCTTTATTCTGTTGAACAACAGTCAACACAGATTTGCAAGTGCACCTCAATAATAACATATAGCTGGGTGATCTGTTATGTAATCATCTTTGATTTGAGTAAAAGCTAATCACTTGATTTGCCAAGTTTGCAAGATTCGCTGCATTAAATCTTTAAATGATTTTTAGAGCTGTGTTTTAGCAAAACTAAAAATATTAAAATACTAAATATTATAATTTTGTATCCATTATTTTGTATTAATAAATGTATTAATATTTATTTATTTGTGTTTGTCAAGAAAAATGTATACTTCAAAATCAGTAGCACATACAAACAATAAAAATGACATCTGAAGTTTCCTGAATTTCAGACAGAATTATAAAAAAAAAGGTCAAATATAGAGATGTCAGACTAACCAAGCGCTTTCAAGGTTCACACCCATATAAGCGCTAATAATAAATAATTCAAAAGCACATCACAGACATTTAATATTTAGATGACAAGAAAATAATTGAAAACATACTTTCATTGTTTTTCAGTTATTTGGTTAAAACCAAAGTCATGTGAAAATACATTTATATGGTTAGACTTGAAGTGCAAAAGTGTGACTTAAGTGATTGTTTTATGATCCGTTGACATCAGATTTATTTTATTAAAATGGTTAATGGAATAGTTTCACTTATAAATGAAAATGATGTCATCATTTACTCACCCTCACCCTTTGCTTGTATGAATTTCTTTCTTCTGCTGAACACAAAAGAAGATATTTTGAAGAATGTTGGTAACCAAACAGTGGATGTAACCTATTGACTTCCATAGCATTTTTTTCCTACTATGGAAGTCAGCGGCTGCGGGGTACATCAACTGTCTGTCAAATAGCTGTTGAATATGAGAGGACGTTTCTCTTTTTTTCTGAGTTTATATTGTGAGTGAA